AAAACACAATGCAATGTTGTTTCTTCCAGTGACTTCTTCAAGTCATGTATCTGTGGTAATCTAACAGTGGAAAACACTTATCATTTGGGGAATATCACAGTGGCTATCTGCATCTTAAGCGGGAGGCCATCACCCAATGAAGCCAACAGAACCACATCATCTGCGAAAAGCAGAGATGAGATTCTGAGGTCACCTAAGTGATAGCCCTCCGCCACTTGGCTGCGCCTAGAAATCCTGTCCATAAAAGTTATGAAGAGAATCGGTGACAAAGGGCAGTCCTGGCGAAGCCCACCACCTACAGGGAAAAGGTCCGACTTATTGCCGACTATGCAAACCAAGCTTTTGCAATGGTTGTATAGAGATCGAATGGCCTGTAGCAATGGGACAGATACCCCATACTCCTGCAGCACCTCCCACAGAACACCCCGAGGGACACAGTTGAATGCCTTCACCACATCCACAAAACACATGTAGACTGGTTGGAGAAACTCCCATGCACCCTAAAGTATCCTTGAGAGGATAAAGAGCTTGTCCAGTGTTCCACGACCAGGACGAAAACCGCATTGTTCCTCCTGTATCCAAAGTTCGACTAATGGACAAATTCTCCTTTCCAGCACCCTGGCATAGATTTTCCCAGGGATGCTGAGGACTGTGATCCCCCTGTAGTTGGAACACACCCTCCGGTACCCCTTGTTAAAAATTGGGACGACCACCCCGGTCTGCCAGTCCAGGGGTAGCGCTCCTGATCTCCACGCAACATTGTAGAGGCATGTCAGCCAGGACAGCCCTACAACATCCAGAGCCCCTGCCCCTGGCTGCCGCCAGGCACACCATGCACCCGACCCCTATGGCGTCCCCTACGGGTTGTGGGCTTACAGGAGGGTGGGCCCATGTCCCCTTTTCGGCTGTGCCTGTTGAGCCCCATGGACTGAGGCCCAACCACCAGACGCTCACCCTTGGGCACCCTCCCTGGGCCTGACTCCAGGGCGGGGCCCTGGTAAACATATCCCGCGCAGGGTAAAATGTTCCCTCGGTGATATTCAACAGGAATTAAAACTATAATGATAATATGGGAGAAATATATTCTCTGAATGGATATAGTCTCTCTTTACAGTCCTTGTTACTACTTGTCATGGTCCAGGATCAGATGACTCTGCGTTTAAGTTTTGTTTATTCAGTGTTCTGGGATTTTGTTGGGTTTTCATAGTTTTGTCTTTCGTATTTCATGTTCCTTAATTTATCTTTAGATCACTGTGATTTTCCAGCTTTTAGGTTTTGTCTCTGTGCCTCCCTAGTGTTCCTTGTTTCTTGTGTTCCTGGTTTGATGTTTGTGTTATTTCATGTTCCCATTCCCTCATTACCCTCATTGTATATTTAAGCCCTGTATCTTCCATTGCCCTTTGTTGCATTGTACCCACTTATCTGTATAAGTCTCTTCCTGTGTTTCTAGTTTCAGTGTTAGTTCCTCCTTTCTGGATTCCTGGTGTTTGAGTTGAAACAGTATTTTTAATTGTATCTTTAATGTCCGTATTAGAGAACATAACATGAACAAAAAGGACTTTGGGATTTATTGCAGGATTATAAAAAAAAAAACTCTAAAGAGTAATTTAAAATAATCCAACCAAAGGTATATAAAAGGCTCATGTTAATACTATAACCTTCAGACATATATTCAGTAATGCAATACAGATTCTAAATAATGCTCAGTGACAAAGATTGAATCCTGACCTCAGAGTTTCCAGTATACAATATGTACTGTTCAGTGCAACAGACAGAAGCTTAACTCCTGCATCCTCTATGTCGTTTTCACTCAGGTCCAGCTCTCTCAGTCTACTGGACTGGGAGCTGAGAGCTGAGGACAGAGCTTCACAGCTTCTCTGTGAGAGGTTACAGACACTCAGTCTGAAAAATAATCAACACAAAGACAAAAATAATAAATTAATAAAAACACAAAACAACAACACTGAAATTAAAATGCATTGATGGTGTAGTTATAAGTGACTATATCTGGCAATATTTAATGTTCCTCAAGGACTGGTTGGAATTACTATTGTCTGATTTTAAACACATCAGGAATTGACTTTCATTTACAAATCATGAGAAATGATACACTACAATAACAAATGCATGTAACTGACCTTTATTAGCTAAAAGTTTAATTGGTTAATTATCTCATTTGACATAAATAAGAATCCTTGATCTGACCTCAGAGCTGCCAATTTACAATGTGGACTTTTCACTCCAGCAGACAGAAGCTTCACTCCTGAATCTTGTAGGTTGTTGTTACTCAGGCCCAGATCCCTAAGGCTAGAGGATTGGGAGCTGAGAACTGAGGACAGAGATTCACAGCTTCTCTCAGAGAGGAAACACCCATATAGTCTAGAAAGCAAGAACACACACACACACACACACAAGCTGAAATTACAGTATATTGATTGTACAGTGATGAGTTACTTGATCTGGTAATGTCTCTTATGCTCCAGGACAAGGTGGGTTTGCTATTTCCTTATATTAAACACCAGAAATGTGTCAATTTAGGCAAGGCAAGGCAAGTTTATTTGTATAGCACAATTCAACAACAAGGTGATTCAAAGTGCTTTACAAAGACATTAGAAACAAAAACAAATAAAAAGTATGATTTAAAATTGATTAAAACAAGCAAACAAACAAACTAATTAACAAACAAACAAAACAGTATATAAAATCAAAACAGATACAATCAGAACAATGGATAAAATCAGTAGTTAAATGTAAGTTTTGAAATTTAATCTTAAAAGTGTGGATTTGGTGCTTTATTCAAATGCAGCTGAGAATAGGTGAGTCTTCAACCTGGATTTAAATAAACTGAGTGTTTCAGCTGATCTGAGGCTTTCAGGGAGATTGTTCCAGATATAAGGAGCATAAAAGCTGAATGCAGCTTCTCCGTGTCTGGTTCTGACTCTGGGAACTGATAAAAGACCAGATCCAGATGACCTGAGGGATCTGGAAGGTTCATGCTGGGTCAGGAGGTCACTGATGTATTTTGGTCCTAAACCATTCAGAGCTTTATAGACCAGCATCAGAACTTTAAAGTCTATCCTCTGACAGACAGGCAGCCAGTGTAAAGACCTCAGAGCTGGACTGATGTGGTCCACTTTTTTGGTCTTAGTGAGGACTCGAGCAGCAGAGTTCTGAATGAGCTGTAGTTGTCTGACTGATTTTTTAGGTAGACCTGTAAAGATGCTGTTACAGTAATCAAGCCTACTAAAGATGAATGCATGGACTAGTTTTTACAGGTCCTGTTGAGACATCAGATCTTTTATCCTTGAAATATTCTTGAGGTGATAGTAAGCTGACTTTGTTATTGTCTTAACCCTTTAAGACCTACCATAGAACCAAGGCCGCCAGAGCTTATATTATATTTTTACATGCTGTGGAGCCATTTTTGGGAGCATTTCAAGTTGCTATACATCAATACAACCATTATAGCCCAGATTTTAATAATATGTATTCATTAAGTGCATAGTAATTACATAAATTGCAAAAAAGTGCAATAAACTACAAAAAAATTGAAAATCGTTTTTGCTTTTTTAACATATATTTGTAGTTAGAGAAATTTAAGAGGCTTATCCCTCAAAACTGTAAATACAAAAAAGTTGCACAAAATAGTTTCCCACCACAGGAAATTTATTTTGAGTGTCTTCATAGTTTTATTTTTGAAATACACCAATTTTTATACACTGCAGGAAAAACGAAAATAAATATTATAATGCAAATTTGCAAAAAGGCAGCATATGCATCAAAATAAACTATTTCCAGCAGTGCAATATGAGTCCTAAGCATCCCAGAAACGACACAGAAAGTCATAAAGTCAAAGATAACTTTTAAAAACACCAGTATAGGCTCATAAGGCCCTGATGGTAAAAAAGACTACATTTCCGCGAAAATGACGTCACTTCCGGTTTCGGGCAGGTAATGGCGGAAATGCAAAAGTTCGCGCTGACATCTATTCCAACGTAGGAAGTGTTATGAACAGCTGATCGGATCGGCAAAGCGTGTTTCTGGAATATTATGTTTTTGTTCCTGCAAGCGCTTTTTATGCAGTTTTTGCAAAGCTTTATGTGGAAGGAAACCGTGACCTAGGACAAGCTGATGGCATAAGATGTAAGTACAAGTCCTCCGGTTTCATAGGCAAAAAAAATTATTGCGCTAGCTTACGTGGTTGCAGTGCTACCGGGATTTAAAAATAGTTACGCAAAACAGAGCGTGCCTGCTCCAATCGGCTAGTTACCTATTGATACAAAGTATTTCCTGTTTTCTAAGTATGTTTTGAACCAGTTTAGTACAGTTCCTGAAAGACCTGCCCAGTTCTCCAGTCGTTTGAGTAATATGTTGTGGTCAACTATATCAAATTTACTGTGATTTGAAAATGATGAAAAATACTAAGATGCAAGAACAAATAAATAATACCTCCCTTTAGTGGCAAAAGGTTTTAATTGATTAAATATGTTATTTGATGTAAAAAAAATATTATTTGATCTGACCTCAGAGTTTCCAGTGTACAATGTGCGCTCTCCACTCCAGCAGATAGAAGCTTCACTCCTGAATCTTGTAGGTTGTTGTTACTGAGGTCCAACTCTCTCAGTCTACTGGACTGGGAGCTGAGAGCTGAGGACAGAGCTTCACAGCTTCTCTGTGAGAGGTTACAGGTGCTAAGTCTGAAAAATAATCAACACAAAGACAAAAATAATAAATTAATAAAAACACAAAACAACAACACTGAAATTAAAATGCATTGATGGTGTAGTTAAAAGTGACTATATCTGGCAATATTTAATGTTCCTCAAGGACTGGTTGGAATTGCTATTGTCTGATTTTAAACACATCAGAAATTGACTGTCATTTACAAATCATGAGAAATGATACACTACAATAACAAATGCATGTAACTGACCTTTATTAGCTAAAAGTTTAATTGGTTAATTATCTCATTTGACATAAATAAGAATCCTTGATCTGACCTCAGAGCTGCCAGTTTACAATGTGGACTTTTCACTCCAGCAGACAGAAGCTTCACTCCTGAATCTTGTAGGTTGTTGTTACTCAGGCCCAGATCCCTAAGGCTAGAGGATTGGGAGCTGAGAACTGAGGACAGAGATTCACAGCTTCTCTCAGAGAGGAAACACCCATATAGTCTAGAAATCAAGAACACACACACACACACACACACACACACACACACACACACACACACACACACACACACACACACACACAAGCTGAAATTACAGTATATTGATTGTACAGTGATGAGTTACTTGATCTGGTAATGTCTCTTATGCTCCAGGACAAGGTGGGATTGCTATTTCCTTATATTAAACACCAGAAATGTGTCAATTTACTGTGATTTGAAAATGATGAAAAATACTAAGATGCAAGAACAAATAAATAATACCTCCCTTTAGTGGCAAAATGTTTTAATTGATTAAATATGTTATTTGATGAAAAATAAATATTATTTGATCTGACCTCAGAGTTTCCAGTGTACAATGTGCACTCTCCACTCCAGCAGATAGAAGCTTCACTCCTGAATCTTGTAGGTTGTTGTTACTGAGGTCCAACTCTCTCAGTCTACAGGACTGGGAGCTGAGAGCTGAGGACAGAGCTTCACAGCTTCTCTGTGAGAGGTTACAGGTGCTAAGTCTGAAACACACACACACACACACACACACACACACACACACACACACACACACACACACACATATGTAATGGATTTGATTTAATATGTTTTTATATGTTGATCTGACCTGAAAATATACAGAGTGCAAGAAAATCGAATGTGTCAGTGTACACTACAATTAATGATTAACTAAAAATAAATACAGTTAAAGTTTAGAAAAAACAATGCAGTTAAATTTGTGATATATATATATATCACACACACACACACACACACACACACACATATATATGTATATATATATATATATATATATATATATATATGTATATATATATTACTAATATACATATTAATAATATAATAATATATTTAGTCAAATATTAAAACAGTCTTATACTTGACTGAGTTACTGAGATACTTTTTGTTAAATAGGATCAACATTTATTGTTTAAAGAATGCATGGCCACATATTTACTTACAATGCTTTGTTGGAGGCTTTGACCACTGGCAGCAGCCTCAGAAGAGACTCATCTGAAGCAGAGAATTTCTTCAAGTCAAACACATCCAGATCTTTTTCTGATGACAGTAAGATGAAGACCAGAGCTGACCACTGAGCAGGAGACAGCTCATCTGTGGAGAAACTTCCTGATCTCAGAGACTGCTGGATCTCCTCCACTAGAGAACGATCCTTCAGTTCATTCAGACAGTGGAACAGATTGATGCTTTTCTCTGCAGACAAATTCTCACTGAGCTTCTCCTTTATGTACTGGACTGTTTCCTGATTGGTCTTTGAGCTACTTCCTGTCTGTGTTAGAAGACCTCTCAGGAGAGTCTGATTGGTCTGCAGTGAAAGACCCAGGAAGAAGCAGAGGAACAAGTCCAGGTGTCCATTTGGGCTCGTTATGGCCTTATCCACAGCACTCTGGAAAAAAATTAGCATGTCGAGGGATTGACTTCTTTTGAACTTCTGGGAGGTTGTTTGTTGTTGTTCTAGCACATTGACCCCAGAGTTGATGAAGGTCAGATGGACATAAAGAGCAGCCAGAAACTCCTGAACACTCAGATGGGTGAAGCAGAACACCTTCTCCTGGTACAGTACTCTCTCCTCTCTAAAGATCTGTGTGAGTACTCCTGAGTAAATTGAGGCTGCTATGATATCAATGCCACACTCTGTCAGGTCTGATTCATAGAAGATCAGGTTTGCTTTCTGCAGCTGATCAAAAGCCAGTTTTCCCAGAGACTCAATCATCCTTGTGCTCTCTGGACTCAAGTGTGGATCATACTTTAACTTCCTAATTTTGGCCTGAACCACCAGGAAGTTGATGTACATCTCAGTCAGGGTCTTGGGTAGCTGTCTTCCCTCTCTGGTTTGCAGCACATCCTCCAGAACTGTAGCAGTGATCCAGCAGAAGACTGGGATGTGGCACATGATGTAGAGGCTTTGTGATGTCTTGATGTGGGAGATGATACTGCTGCCCTTCTCCTCATCTCTGAATCTCTCCCTGAAGTACTCCTCCATTTGTGGATCAGTGAACCCTCGGATCTCTGTCACCATATCAACATATTGTGGAGGGATCTGATTGGCTGCTGCAGGTCGTGTGGTTATCCAGATGCGAGCAGTGGGAACCAGTTTCCCCCTGATGAGGTTTGTCAGCAGCACATCCACTGAGGTGGGCTTTCTAGGGTCAGTTAGGATTTCATTTTTGTGGAAGTCCAGAGGAAGTCGACACTCATCCAGACCATCAAAGATAAACACAACCTGGAAGTCTTCAAAGCTGCAGATTCCTGCTTTTTTGGTTTCAGTAAAGAAGTGATGAACAAGTTCCACCAAGCTGAACTTTTCCTCTTTCAGCACATTCAGCTCTCTGAAAGTGAATGGAAATATAAACTGGATGTCCTGGTTGGCTTTGTCTTTAGCCCAGTCCAGAGTGAATTTCTGTGTCAACAGTGTTTTCCCAATGCCAGCCACTCCCTTTGTCAGCACTGTTCTGATTGGTTCATCTCTTCCAGGTGAGGCTTTAAAGATGTCTTCTCGTCGGATTGTTTTTTCTGGTCTGTCTGGTTTCCTGGATGCGGTTTCAATCTGTCTGACCTCATGTTCATCATTGACCTCTGCAGTCCCTCCCTCTGTGATACAGAGCTCTGTGTCGATCTGATTCAGCAGGGTTGGGTTTCCTGCTTTAGCGATCCCCTCAAACACACACTGGAACTTCTTCTTCAGCTTAGATTTAAGTTTACGTGGACAAACTGTAACAAGATTTTCTAAATAAAATAAAATAAAAGATGAATCATTTTTTAAGTAGTGCAAATTACAGTTTTATTTTCTAAAGCGTTACCCTTGAAAATATGTCTGTCCCTCTGCTGAGCCATAAATAAATACTCCATTTATCGCCAGCAGTTTAACTCTTTAGATAAATCCTCTTACTTCTATGCAGACAGTCAGCCAGCTTCCCCTGCTTCTTCCTCCTCAGGAAGTCCAGTGTGATCTTCACAACTGACACTCTGCTTTTGCTCATCTGCTCATCATCCTCCACCTGACTCTCTAAGCCTTCTGGGTAATCTGAACTCAGAACCGTTTGAATCTTCTTCAGCTCGTTCTTCACAAAAGTGATGATGTCTTTCTCCAGCAGCTGGAACAGAATATTTTATGAATAACCCAATCAGACTGAAATCATGAGCCAAACATCCGATCCATATTGGACACACTGACAATCCACTGGTCTACAAAGAGCAGCATGGAGGTGCTGAACAGAATAGATGTGAAAGTAGTTGTACATGTACAGACCATAAATATGGAGTCCAGGTGTGTTTCAGTCTGCTGGGAGACCTGACCACTGGGAACCTCTAAGCTCTCCTGGTCCACTCTGTGGAGGAATCATGAACAATTAGTTCAAGCACAAGATATCGGTCAAGACGTTATCTGCTCTGCACTGTTTATAAGAGAACTTCATCTTAAGTGTGTAAAGTTTTGTCTCTGATATATCAGGAAACATTATTTAGTGTAAATATTATTATGTTTGTTTTAAATCCTTATGGATGTCTCTTGAATCTTGGTTCTCTGGGCCCGGGGCTCAGTCTGGTCTGGCGTAGCTGGCTGCCGGTGGAGCCTGCAGGCTTGTTGCTGCGGCAAACCATGGAAACTGCACCATGGTTGCTGGGTGACCCCCATTCAGGGCACTCCTCAGCTCTAGGTGAATGGTGAGATAGCCTTTGTAGTTGGCCTCCCTGGGCAGTCGTGCACAAGTAATGATAATAATGGATTGGATTTATATAGCGCTTTTCAAGGCACCCAAAGCGCTTTTCAATGCCACTATTCATTCACTCTCACATTCACACACTGGTGGAGGCAAGCTACAGTTGTAGCCACAGCTGCCCTGGGGCATGCTGACAGAAGCAAGGCTGCCATATCGCGTCATTGGCCCCTCTGGCCAACACCAGTAGGCAAGTAGGGTAAAGTGTCTTGCCCAAGGACACAACAACCGAGACCGTCCAAGCCGGGGCTCGAACCGGCAACCTTCCGATTACAGATGTGATTCCCAACCCCCTGAGCCACCGTCGTCCCTGAGCCACCCAAAAATGGTTTGGGAAATCTCCCAACTTTTTGTCCAGTGTGAACATGGAGTTGACGTTAGATGGATTTTAGTGATCTAGAATATTAATTGTACTTGTTTTAGTGACATTCTTTTACAGCCCACATCATAAATATTGTGATAAAATGTAAAGTGTGTAATTATGTAAATGTTCACAGTGTTTTCTCCATGTAAGTAGACACTTACATGGAGAAACCTGAAGAATACAAGCACGCTCACACACACAGACAGGTGTGCACACAAGTGTACACACAGGTAGTCACAGACACACACTATTTTGGTTTGCTGCTGCCTCTAAACATATCATGCAGTACTAGTACTGTATGCAGCTCAGCAACATTCAATATGTATCATTTACTGTTACTTATGCTTATGCTTATGTTGGTTGTTCCTGTGGCTTCTAGTGATGGGTCGTTCGCGAATGAAATGGCTCTTAGAGCCGGGTCTTTGACGTGAACGACGCGAGCCGGCTCCTTATCGCGAGCCGTCACGTGGGTTGTTTTTTTTTTCTTTCTCTCAGCCTCTCTCTCGCACTTTTTTTCTGCTTCACTCAGCAAGCGAGCCTTGTGCTTTACGCTTGGCAGAGGGGGGAGGGGCAGTAATTACACTCAGTAACACAGGAACAGAGCCAGAGGGGGAGAGAGAGAAAGAGAGCCAAGGACAACAACGTCACATTAGAAAGGTATAGTAATCATCCACAACTATTTTCGGTTGCAGATGATAAAGGATTCATTAAGTTTATTCATGCAGGCCCATATGACAGATAATGTGCATGTTTCTTTTTGTTTTCATATTTTGAATCGCTATCTTATCGTGGTGGAGGGGTTTGTGTGTCCCTGGGATCCCAGGGGCTATGTTGTCTGGGGGCTTTTGCCCCCTGGTAGGGTCTCCCATGGCAAATTGGCCCTGGGTGAGGGACCAGACAAAGAGCGATTCATAAGACCCTTATGAAAAGGACACCGAGGGAACAGTTTACCCTGCCCGGGATAGGGTTACCGGGGCCCCGCCCTGGAGCCAGGCCCGGGGAGGGTGCCCGAGGGCGAGCGTCTGGTGGCCGGGCCTTAGTCCATGGGGCCCGGCCGGGCACAGCCCGAAGAGGAGACATGGGCCCATCCTCCCGCAGGCCCACCACCGCAGGAGGCGCCATAGGGGTCGGGTGCATTGTGTGTCGGGTGGCGGCCAGGAGCGGAGGCCCTGGCGGACTGACCCCCGGCTGCCAAGACTGGCAATAGGGACATGGAATGTCACCTCTCTGGTGGGGAAGCAGCCTGAGTTAGTGCGCGAGGTTGAGAGGTACCGGCTAGATATAGTCGGGCTCACCTCTACACATGGCTTGGGCTCTGGAACCAGTCTCCTGGAGAGGGGCTGGACTCTGTCTCAGTCTGGAGTTGCCCCTGGTGAGAGGCGGCGGGCTGGGGTGGGTATCCTAATATCCCCTCGGCTTGCTGCCGGTACGTTGGGGTTTTTCCCGGTGGACAAGAGGGTTTGTTCCCTGCGCCTTAGGGTCGGGGAATGGGTCCTGACTGTCATCTGCGCTTATGCGCCGAGTGGCAGTTCAGAGTACCCAGCCTTCCTAGAGTCCCTGGGGGGGGGGTGCTGGAGGGTGCTCCACCTGGAGACTCTGTTGTCCTGCTGGGAGACTTCAATGCTCACGTGGGTAACGACAGCGAGACCTGGAGGGGCGTGATTGGGAGGAACGGCCTCCCTGATCTGAACCCGAGCGGTGCTCTGTTATTGGACTTCTGTGCTAACCACAGTTTGGCCATAACGAACACCCTGTTCGAACATAAGAGTGTCCATAAGTGCACGTGGCACCAGGACGCTCTAGGCCGTAGGTCGATGATCGATTTTGTAATCGTATCAGCAGACCTGCGGCCATATGTTCTGGACACTCGGGTAAAGAGAGGGGCTGAGCTGTCAACTGATCACCACCTGGTGGTGAGTTGGATCAGGTGGCGGGGGAGGACGCTGGACAGACCTGGTGCACCTAAACGCGTAGTGAGGGTGTGCTGGGAACGTCTAGCAGAGGCCCCAGTCCGCGAGATCTTCAACGCACATCTCCGGCAGAGCTTCAACAGCATTCCGAGGGAGACCGGGGACATTGAGTCCGAATGGACCATGTTCAGCGTCTCCATTGCCGAAGCTGCTGCATTGAGCTGCGGCCGCAAGGTGGTGGGTGCCTGCCGTGGTGGTAATCCCCAAACCAAATGGTGGACACCAGAGGTGAAGGGAGCCACCAGGCTGAAGAAGGAGTCCTACCGGGCTTGGTTAGCCTGTGGGACTCCGGAGGCAGCCGACAGGTATCGACAGGCCAAGCGGAATGCGGCTCGGGCAGTGGCTGAAGCAAAAACTCGGGTGTGGGAGGAGTTCGGAGAGGCCATGGAAAAAGACTTTCGGACTGCCTCGAAGAGATTCTGGCAAACCGTCAGACGTCTCAGGAGGGGAAAGCGGTGCTCTACCTGCACTGTGTATAGTGCTGGCAGAGCGCTGCTGACGTCGACTGAGAAAATTGTCAGGCGGTGGAAGGAATACTTCGAGGACCTCCTTAATCCCACTGACACGTCTTCCGAAGAGGAAGCAGAGTCTGGGGATGAGGGGAATGACCCGCCAATTTCCGGGGGCGAGGTCACTGAGGCAGTTAAACAACTCCTTGGTGGCAGAGCCCCTGGTGTTGATGAGGTCCGCCCCGAGTTCCTGAAGGCTCTGGATGTTGTAGGGCTGTCCTGGTTGACACGCCTCTGCAATGTTGCGTGGAGATCAGGGGCAGTACCTGTGGACTGGCAGACCGGGGTGGTGGTCCCCATCTTTAAGAAAGGGGACCGGAGGGTGTGTTCCAACTACAGGGGGATCACACTCCTCAGCCTCCCTGGGAAAGTCTATGCCAGGGTGCTGGAAAGGAGAGTTCGTCCGTTAGTCGAACCTCGGATACAGGAGGAACAATGCGGTTTTCGTCCTGGTCGCGGAACACTGGACCAGCTCTTTATCCTCTCCAGGATACTTGAGGGTGCATGGGAGTTTGCCCAACCAGTCTACATGTGTTTTGTGGACTTGGAGAAGGCATTCGACCGTGTCCCTCGGGGTGTCCTGTGGGAGGTGTTGCGGGAATATGGGGTGTCTGGCCCATTGCTACGGGCCATTTGATCCCTATACAACCGTTGCAAGAGCTTGGTTCGCATTGCCGGCAATAAGTCGGACTCGTTCCCGGTGGGTGATGGGCTTCGCCAGGGCTGCCCTTTGTCTCCGGTTCTGTTCATAATTTTATGGACAGGATTTCTAGGCGCAGCCAAGTGGCGGAGGGCTTTCGCTTTGGTGGCCTCAGAATCTCATCTCTGATTTTTGCAGATGATGTGGTTCTGTTGGCTTCATCGGGTGAAGGCCTCCAGCTCGCACTGGAACGGTTCGCAGCCGAGTGTGAAGCAGCGGGAATGAGGATCAGCACCTCCAAATCCGAGGCCATGGTTCTCAGCCGGAAAAGGGTGGAGTGCCCACTCCGAGTCGGGGATGAGTTCCTGCCCCAAGTGGAGGAGTTCAAGTATCTCGGGGTCTTGTTCGCGAGTGATGGGAGAAGGGAGCCGGAGATCGACAGACGGATTGGGGCTGCAGCTGCAGTAATGCGGACGTTGCACCGGTCCGTCGTGGTGAAGAGGGAGCTGAGTGTAAAAGCGAAGCTCTCAATTTACCGGTCGATCTACGTCCCTACCCTCACCTATGGCCACGAGCTGTGGGTAGTGACCGAAAGAACGAGATCGCGGATACAAGCGGCAGAAATGAGCTTCCTCCGAAGGGTGGCTGGCCTCTCCCTTAGAGATAGGGTGAGAAGTTCGGCCATCCGGGAGGGGCTCAGAGTAGAGCAGCTGCTGCTCCACATCAAAAGGAGCCAGCTGAGGTGGTTCGGGCATCTGACAAGGATGCCCCCTGGGCGCCTCCTGGGTGAGGTGTTCCAGGCATGTCCCACCGGGAGGAGGCCCCGGGGCAGACCCAGGACACGCTGGAGAGATTATATCTCTCGGCTGGCCTGGGAACGCCTTGGTATTCCCCCGGACAAGCTGGAGGAGGTGGCTGGGGAGAGGGAGGTCTGGGCCTCTTTGCTTAGGCTGCTGCCCCCGCGACCCGACCCCGGACAAAGCGGATGACGATGGATGGATGGATATTTTAATTTATATTTAATTGTGTTGTGGTTTGCAGTGTTTTGTGTTGTTTCACTTTAAATTTGTAAAAGGAAAAAGCTGAAAATTTAAATAGTTAAAAGTTGAAATGTGAATAGTTGATTTTTGTATTATATGATTTATTTATTATATTTTATATGAAGTGAATAAATAAAAGTATATTTACAGTGGCCCCTAGAGACAAAGCACATACAAACTTCAAATCACGTACGAACTCTGAAGCATGTACAAACTCCAAAACACGTAAAAACACGTAAAAACTCCAAAACACGTAAAAAGACGTACAAACTCCAAAACATGTAAAAACTCAGAAGCACATAAAAACTCAAAACACGTACAAAAGACAACAGAAGTGCTCCAGGATGCTAGGGGCAGTGTTGAACTTTTGTTACCGAGTGGCTACACAAGCCAGCAAGTACCAACGACCGAATCTGGTGTGTGGTAATAACCGGTAAATGAACATTTTTTTAAAATTATTTGAATATATATGAGTGCCTGTGTATAAATACACAAAGAATACACATATGCTTTCAATTGTGTAATTTAAGTGATCTAGTAGCTCTGCTTTGGAAGTTCAGTTCATGCTAGAAATGTGTCTTGGAGTTTGTACGTGTTTTGTCTCTAGGGACCACCGCATATATTTATATATAAACATATATATATATAAAACCACGTTTTTTTTACGTTAGTAATTCCTTTTGTGCATAATTTTATAATATTGTTAATAATAAATTAATTAAAGCAACAAAACATCCTGAAGAGCCGGTTCGGAGCCGAAAGAGCCGGCTCTTTTTAGTGAGCCGAACCGAAAGAGCCGGATCTCTAAAAAGAGCCGGAAATCCCATCACTAGTGGCTTCCCTACTGTGTTGTTTTCTTTTTGCAGTTTTTTTCAGCAGATGATCAGATTTTCCATTTCTTTTCTCACTATCTGTTGTTTCCTCTATTTTTTCCCTCATCATGTTTACTCTCTTCCCAACTTCTCTTTCCTTCTTTCTCCTTTGCCATCCCATTGTCCGTTGTGATTGTAATAACTTAAAAAAAAAACTCTGATAAATCAATATGATTTCTGTTTGGTTATCTCCACACAGCAGATAAAAACTCTGTGTATAATAAATCCTAACATGGAACACAGATAATAATAATAATATATTTTATTTGAGGGCGCCTTTCAGAAACCCAAGGTCACCTTACAAAAAACACAATTAATAAAAGGAACAGTAGTCAAAAATTATTATTAAAGCAAATAAGCCAGTTTAAACAGATGTGTTTTGAGCTGTGTCTTAAATACGGAGAGGGAGTCAATATTTCTTAGTGCAGGAGGAAGAGAGTTACAGAGCCGGGGAGCAGAGCGACTGAAAGCTCTGTTCCCCATAGTAATAAGGTGTGAGGACAGAATAGTAAGATGAATAGCAGATGATGATCTGAGAGGGCGGGAAACAGTGGTGACATGGAGCAGGTCACACAAATATGAAGGAGCAGATTTATGAATACACTTGTATGTCAGAAGTAAGATTTTAAAATTTAGCCTGGCTTCTATGGGCAACCAGTGAAGCTGCTGAAGAACTGGGGTAATATGAGCACTTAACAGTGTATGGGTTATGATCTGAGCTGCAGAATTTTGAAGAAGTTGGAGTTTATGAAGGGACCTTTTAGGGAGACCAAATAGGAGGGAATTAGAATAGAATAGAATTCAACTTTATTGTCATTGCACATGCACAGGTACAGGGCAACGAAATGCAGTTTGCATCCATCCAGAAGTGCTTAGTGATATAGATATATTACAATATATATTAGCAATAATATAGATATGTAAGTATATTACAGAAATGGGTCTATTATGTTATAATGTACACGGTATGAAGTATGTTGTGAATATTCTATAACTATAAGTATGTACAGGCTGTAGTGAGTACAAGCTATGTACAGGATATGGACAGGATATAAATATGAAAAACTATACAGAATATGAAATAAATAACTTTACAGGAATCTGAGATATACAGCTATACAGAAATGGGAACTATGCAAGTTGTAAACAGTTGTAGGGTTAAAAATTATCGTATGTACAGAATGATTGTTTACACAGGGCTATACAGTAGTGCAGTTAAGATAAGTGAGGGTGTGGATAATTTCTACAGAGGCTATATAAAGTGCTAGTGGTTGTGAGTGGTGGTTCAGTCCATGTTATTATTGTGTGTTTGAGGGTACAGTTGTCCATTGTGTGTGTGTGTGTATGTTCAGTCCATGAGTTAACGTGGGTCAGATGTCAGGAGGCAGAGTTCAGGAGTCTGACAGCTGTGGGGAAGAAGCTGTTCCGGTACCTGGTGGTCTTAGTCCGGAGGCTCCTGTAGCGCCTCCCAGAGGGCAGGAGGGTGAAGAGTCCATGTGATGGGTGACTGGGGTCTCTGATGATTTTCCCAGCCCTTTTCAGACACCGCTTCCTGTAGATGTCTTTTATGGCAGGAAGGGGTGCTCCGGCGATGCGCTGGGCAGTTTTCACGACCCTCTGCAATGCCTTCCGGTCCGAGGAAGAGCAGTTCCCGTACCAGACTGTTATACAGTTGGTCAGGATGCTCTCGATGGTGCAGCGATAGAAGTTCACCAGGATGTCTGAGGACAGGTGGTTCTTCCTCAGAGTCCTCAAGAAGAAGAGGCGCTGGTGAGCCTTCTTGACCAGCTTGGAGCAGTGGTCGTCCAGGTGAGATCCTCGGAGATGTGGACTCCCAGGAACTTGAAGCTGCTCACACGCTCCACAGCCGTCCCCTTAATGTGGATGGGTGGATGTGGGTCAGCATTCCTCCTGTAGTCCACGATGAGCTCCTTGGTCTTACAGTAATCAATATGGGATGTAATAAGACTATGGACAAGGATGGCAGCAGCATGGGGAGTAAGGAAGGGGCAAATGTATTTAGCAATTTAATTAATAGTTAATCTCACATTTATTTACATATTAGTAATTCTAAGATGCTTTTTTTTATCTTCTTTCCCAGGATTCTTTTATATTTTTTGATATGTATAGCAATAGCAAAAAAAAAATCCCCCAGGGGCATCTCAACCATTTTCTATTGTACAGAATTCTCCTTTGGAGGTGACCAAATAATAAGATTTTCATTCTATTAATTACTTTTTAGTATGTGTTGGAATACATTTTTTGAAGATAATTATAATATAATAATATATTAATGGGAAAACTCTCAGTATGTTGTTCTTGGAATAATAGTTTTTTTTTTTTATTTAACTGCAGAGTGTTTTCTTCACTGATGTTTGTTGAGACTGATCACTTCCTGTTTGGTAGTGTTGATTTTCACTTGTTTAGAAACCAAGGGTTTGTTTTCAAGAGACAGTTAAAATGGGATTGAGGGAATGACATGTTTGCACTGCACTTTATATCCAACAACATCAAGCAGTTCAATCAGCTCTCAAAGAGTTCATGTTACTAATAACTCACTTGTCTGCAGCAGACGGTTGCTGGACTTTAAAATCAATGTAGCGATCATGTGACTCAGCACTCTTAAAGGACACACTGGAACCTGAATCTGAATCAGATTCAAATTCTGATTTAGGTTCAGTTTCAGGTTCAGGTCCAGGTTGGTTCCTGTGAATAATGATGGAGCAGTGATGTGAGTGCTGAGCTGTGACATGTTGAAATGTCATAGACAGTTAGAGATGGTCATCTCACCTCTGATCTTTGGTCTGGCTCTCATGTTCCCCACATGGAGTGGTTTTAGAGGGAGGGACTCCCTCCTCTCTGTCCTCACACTGATCCATGCTGCTGACACACACCAGCTCACACACACTTTCTACCTTCACCTGCAGAGGAAACACAAATCATTCATGTGCACATCAACTGAGATGTGCACATCAGAGTTCATGTCTGATTTGTTGGATTAACATCCACTCCATCTGAAACAGCTTTCATCAGTTCAGTACAAAAAGTGTCACAGAGCCGATTTCCTTCCATTACTGTAGTCCTACAAAGCAACAGATAAAACATGTCTTTAGAAATGACAGAGAGCAGTTTTTTTTTCAATAACAATGCCAGGACCAAGCTGACTGCTCACAGAGAGTGCATATTCTAACTGCTAGCAGCTCTGCTAGCTAAGCTAACTAAGTAACAGTCAATCTGACAGCAGTTACTGTGGACGCAGGACACATTTACTGTGTTTAGTCTGATTCCAGATGGTTCAGATTAACTCGTGTCAGTCAAACAGAAGTGTTGTAGATTTATTTTTCAGGAGCTTCTAGCAACAAACACAGAAGTGAATCATATGAAGATCATGAATTTACACTTACATCCTAATTTTACATTGATTTTAAATGTACTCATTAAACTGTAAACCGAGAGGAATGCTATGTAGGAGACAGGAAGTGAAAAAGTCAGAGAAACAGATCAGAGACTAATAAAACAAAATAGAAGAGAAGAGAAATTTCCCTTATTGTCCCTCATTGAGGGAAATTTGCAGGCTCCAGCAGCAAAGTGACAGGCAGGTGGAGCATGCAGATTCAAACAAAAGTAACAAACAAGAAATAAGAGACTGCACATGGTAAACTTACAACATCAGAAATAAAAGTAGAGTTGTACAGTTATTAAAAAGAGGGATACTCAGACTCAAAGAAATGTGCAGCTGAGTAAGATTTTTTTTTTTTTTCAAAAAAGATGTGAATGACCCAGCAAACAAGCCACAGTGTACGCTTCACAAATACACACCATCCTGGCAACAAATCTATACCAACCAAACCCAAAATGGCCACGAGCAAATCAAATTTAAACGAATGAGCCCTGACTTGTCACAAACCGGGCCACACAGCCATGACATAATCCCAGGGATGCATGCAAATTGTATCCAAACAACTATCTTATTTCAAGAAAATAAGATAGTTGGCTTAGGCTGCTGCCCCCGCGACCCGGCCCCGGACAAAGCGGATGAAGATGGATGGATGGATGGAAAACAAAAAAGAAACCTTACACAAACTATGGCTTATGGAGTCAGTACAATTAGTGGTGTAGAGGAGTGTATGGTGAAAGAATGCAATGTTGTTTAATGCAAAACCAAACTAAACCAAAGGCCACCAAAATCCACATCCAAATCAAATGTTATCTCAGGGGAAAGCACCACACAGGAGTAGGGATGGGTACCGGTATCCGGTGCCATTATGGCACCGGTTCTGACATAAACGGTAGTAACCAGACCGAAACGCAGCACGCATTTCGGTGCTTTATTTCGGGGCTTTCGGGGCTTTATTTCGGTGCTTTTTTTTTTTCCTGAGAAGTGATACACTTCAGATTCTAGCCAATCATTTTACGTTTCCAAGGATAGTAGGCGGGCCCAGGTACGTACGTTCTTTTAGAGCAGCGCTAAAAAGGCCCAAGGCGAAGCGGTCAAAAGTCTGGCTGTACTTCACAGGCAAGGCAATTTTAAATCATGCTTTTTATTTGTTTTTGTTTTATTTAAGTTTATTTATATAGCACAACTCAACAACAAGGTGATTCAGAGTGCTTTACAGAGACATTAAAAAACAAAAACAATACAAAGCATGATTTAAAATTGATTAAAAAAAAAAAACAAAAAAAAAACAGTAGGTAAATCAGAATAAATCCACACTTGCTTAAAAGTGTGGATTTGGTGTTTTATTCAAATGCATCTGAGAACAGATGAGTCTTCAACCTGGATTTAAATAACTGAGTGTTTCAGCTGATCTGAGGCTTTCTGGGAGTTTGTTCCAGATATAAGGAGCATAAAGCTGAATGCAGCTTCTCCGTCCTTTTTTGGTCTTAGTGAGGATTCGAGCAGCAGAGTTCTGAATGAGCTGTAGTTGTCTGACTGATTTTTAGGTAGACCTGTAAAGATGCTGTTACAGTAATCAAGCCTACTAAAGATGAATGCATGGACTAGTTTTTCCAGGTCCTGTTGAGACATCAGATCTTTTATTCTTGATATATTCTTGAGGTGAGAGTAAGCTGATTTTGTTATTGTCTTAATATGTTTTCTAAGTTTAGGTCTGCTTCCATCACTACACCCAAATTTCTTGCCTGGTTGTGGTTTGAGGTATATAGATTGAAGTTCTCTAGTGACCTGTAATCGTTTTTCTTTGGCTCCAAAGACTATTACTTCAGTTTTGTTTTTGTTTAGCTGGAGAAAATTGTGGCACAACCAGTCATTAATTTCCTCAATGCATTTACCAAGACTCTGTACAGGGCCTCGGTCTCCTGGTGACATTGTGATATATATTTGTGTGTCATCTGCATGGCTATGATAGTTTATTTTGTTGTTCTTTATAATCTGTGCCAGTGAGAGCATGTAAATGTTAAAAAGAAGGGGTCCCAAGATGGAACCTTGGGAACTCCACATGTGATACTTGTCTGCTCAGATGTGAAGTTACCTATTGATACAAAGTATTTCCTATTTTCTAAGTATGTTTGAACCAGTTTAGTACAGCTCCTGAAAGACCTGCCTAGTTCTCCAGTCGTTTAGTAATATTATGGTCAACTGTATCAAATGCTGCACTGAGATCCAGTAAAACTAAGACTGACATTTTTCCACTGTCTGTATTCAGACATATGTCATTCAACACTTTGGTCAGAGCGGTTTCAGTGCTGTGGTTCTGTCTAAAACCTGACTGGAAGGCATCATACCAGTTATTCTGTTTTAAGAAGTAATTGAGCTGTTGAGAAACTGCTTTTCAATGATCTTAAAAATGGGAGATTTGAGATCGGCCTGTAGTTGTTCATTTGTGTCTGTCAAGATTGTCATTTTTCAGTATAGGTTTAATTACAGCAGTTTTTAGTGGTTCTGGAAACACACCTGACATTAAAGAAAAGTTGACGATCTGTACAGGTCTGACTCCATAGTCTTTGAGACCATTTGAAAAAACTTGCTGGCAGGACATCAAAACACCAAGAGGAGGAGTTCAGTTGACCTAAGATGTCCTCCAGGTCTTTGCTGTTAATAGGGTGAAACTGTTTGATGGTGTTGTTAAGGTTCATAAATTGAGGTGGAGAGTACAAACAACCATGGTCCAGAAGAGCTTGGTCAAACAATTGATTTTAATGAAATACACGCGTGGGGGGACCAGTGCAGTACTCAGACAGCGCTGATCTCCGACTAATCAAAGCATAAGCAGATATTTTATACTGTTACGGCCCTAGCAGGGCCTCTCTCCTCCTGAAGGTGCCTGTGTGGGCGTGTCACACTACCTCTTCTGCCTGAGGTGCCACCTTTCCCTTTTACACAGCTGACTGACGTCAATAATTAAGGAGATTTAAGCCCAGGGAAAGGTGAGCTCTGGGCCAGAGTGCCAGTAGTGTAGTTACAGCTTGTGAGAGGAGTGGTTGTTGTGTTTGCAACTAGTGAGCTGTGTGTGTTTTTGGTGATTTTCAGCTAGTGAGCTGCTCTTTCTTTTTGACTTACGTTTTACTTTATGACCAACGCCTGAGTTTTGTTTGTTTTCTTAAAATGGTGATAGCGGCTTGTCCGTCTCTTTTAGTTAGTAAAATTGAAACTTTAATAAAACTCTTTAATTTAACCCTTTGCCTCCTTGACTCCTTTTTCTGAGCCGGTCACTTTTGTTACTCCCCCCTCCCTGCCTAGACCCCTCAGGGGAACGTAACAATACGATCAGGGCTTGAATTTAATGACGCCCCTTCAACGTCACAGATACATTTCATACATAGGTTCCCAGACCACAATGACTTTTAACTAGGGCTGCCACAAACGATTATTTTGATAGTCGACTAGTCACCGATTATTTATGCGATTAGTCGACTAATCAGATCATCATCCACTGGACATAAAACTACAGCTTAT